TGACCGGAATCGAACCTGGGACCTTTCAGTCCGCAGGCCGATGCTCTATCCACTGAGCCAAACCGGTTTCGGCTACATATTGTTTTTGTGATTAATCACTATGCTTTAATTATGTTCAATTTGTAACAATGAAAATACATCCTGCATATCAGATATTTGCATTATGATTCATAACAGTAGCAAAATTACCGTTATGAAGTAGCAACGAAAATAATTTTATGGTTGTGGGTCACCACATGAGGAACTGTATTAAAGGGTCGCGGCATTAGGAAGGTTGAGAACCACTGTCCTAGTTCATAGGTGCTCAACCATTGAGCCACATGGCCAGGCTCTCATTATTTCTTTATCGCTCTCCCTAGTAGGTAGCCATAACTCATAAAGTCCTAGGCTCACCCACCACCTAAGCCTCCAGGCACCACCTTTCCTCTTCTAGATCAGATACTTCTACATAGATGATTAGCAAGCCTAAAACCTGACAAATTTCAAAAAGAATTAGAATGAATCTTCTCTTTCATTGTCAACATTAGATGGTACCTACCCTTTGAGATGGGTACCATAATTACTATAGTTAAGGAAATTGAGATTCAACCAAAACTACACAGTTAGTAAATAATGGAGCCCAAATTCTACCATGCTCTTTTTTTTTCTTTTTAAAATTTTCTTTTAAGCCTCAGTTTTAATTCTGCCATTTACTAGCTGGTGTCCTTTGTGTATAGAAAGTTACATTTGAGTCTCAATATCCTCATCCATAAAATGGTTTTTATATAATTTTCCAAATTTGACTCTGCATAGACAGACACAAATATACCCAGCAACTTACTTTTATCAGATCTTGAATATCTTTCCTCATCAGTACTCTCTTTTTTAAAAAAAATCTTTATTATTGAAAGTATTACATAGGTCCTCCTTTTTATCCCATAAACCTCTTCCAGCTCCCGTCCTCCCCCAGTACTCTCACTCGTAATGGCTCTTAAATGGTTGCATATTATTCACAGCAGATTCCCTTATTTGTTGAATGAATGTGAAAATCAGTAAAGACCCACAAAATATCTTTCCTTATAATGCTGATACAATGCATTCCTGGCCAACCATACCTCCTTGCAAGACTCTCATCTTTTGAATGCCTTCCCTTATTCCAAACCTAGAGTGGGGGACAGGGAACCAGCAGCTTCACAGAATTTGGTCATATATTAAGCAAATGTGAGAAGCATCTTATTGTCTTATTCACTAACCAATAATGCCTGAGGTCTTTCCCAGAGGCCTTGTCTAGGCAGCTCTGAGAGAAAGGTTCTGATCAAGACTCTTATTCAAAACATAATACTGATTATTTTGAAGAATTCACACCATGTTCTCTCCACTAGAAAAGGCCACCGACAGGCACGGGCAGCAAGTCTCACTTGTTGAGTAAAAAGCTCAGTATTATAAACAGAACCTCGGAATTTCCTCATCTTTACCCCTCCTCTGCCACCTGGCTACAGCTACAAAACTTATGGTAAGAGTGCCACTTAGTGTTAGATTCATTACATTGCAATTTGAAATCAGTTCTTCAATCTTTGATTCTAAATGCCAAACACAAAAGGCAAATGACTGAGCAGAATTGTTGACTTTTGATAGTTTACTAAGTACCATAAATTATGCTACGTGCTTTGTAGCCATAAAACCACAAAACTGACCCTGTTTCTTAAAGTGGAGATGATACATAGGTATTTCCTTAAAATACACAGAGAAGTCTAAGACATAAATGCCTTAACATGTCCAATTCCCACATACAAATCTCTTCCTCAGTCCAGAATCATGTAGTATCTATGGACTTTATATGGTAAAAATGTTGGATTCTACTCTTGGCTCCACTACTTATTACCTATTACTTATTAACTGTCTGATACAGTAGAGAGGTGGTAAAGTATGGAGGTTAAGTGCTTTGGCTTTTTTTTTTCTTTTTTTTTTTTTTAAAAAAATGTTTTTATTGATTTTAGAGAGCGAGGAAGGGAAAGGGATAGGTAGAAACATTGATGAGACAGAAACATCAATTGGCTGCCTCCTACACGCCCTCTACTGGGGATCGAGCTCAAAATACAGGCATGTACCATGACCTCTTGGTTCATGGGTTGATGCTCAACCATTGAGCCACACCAGCTGGACTGCTTTGGCTTTGAAAGTAGAAATTTTCAATCCTGGCTCTGCCACTCACTGTCTTGGTAACCTTGGGTAATATGGGTATAAAAAATCATGATTTCATTGGGTTGTTGTGAGGATAAAACTATGTAGAATCATGATTTCATTGGGTTGTTGTGAGGATAAAACGACTATGTAGTTATTAGAACAGTGTCGACAAAGGACTATATATGTTTGCTATTGACTTTCCATCAGATTTAGGATAAAACAAACTCCTTCCCTTGGCCTTTTAAATCCTGTAATCTGCTCTATATCTGCTTCTCTAGCTCCACCTCCTCCCTATGTTGTGGCAATAGCAACCTTTCTCATCCAATTCATGCCACCTTTTTATTTCCTCATGAGACCCTTGCACTTGCTATTTCCAGTCACTTCAGGACCTACTGTTAAGCAGGATAGATAGCTGCTAGGGCAGGAGGGGAAGAGAGGAGGGAAAAGGGGAGTTTATCTCACCCACTGAACAAAGAAGTCAGCAGACTTGGGACTTGCCAAGATAAAATTGTCAGATGTTCTCATAAATTCTGGGAAAAGCCACAACAATATAAAAGAGGGACCTTGAAACCTAGTCTGCTTCCCAAGATGTCAGTGAGGGGAAACTTGAAACCTATAGGGGAGAGAGAAACATCAATGTGAGAGAGACACATCTACTGGTTGCCTCCCACACACCCCCAAGTAGGGGTGGGGATCAAACCCCTTGACCAAGAATCAAACACTAAACCAGTGGTTCTCAACCTTCCTAATGCCGCGACCCTTTAATACGGTTCTTCATTTTGTGGTGACCAACCATAAAATTATTTTCGTTGCTACTTCATAACTGTAATTTTGCTACTGTTATGAATCATAATGTAAGTATCTGATATGCAGGATGTATTTTCATTGTTACAAATTGAACATAATTAAAGCATAGTGATTAATCACAAAAACATTATGTAATTATATATGTGTTTTCCGATGGTCTTAGGCGACCCCTGTGAAAGGGTTGTTCAACCCCCAAAGGGGTCGCAACCCACAGGTTGAGAACCGCTGCACTAGACCAATGTGTAGGCTGACACTTTAACAGTGAGCCACACTGGCCAAGACCATATAAGTTTTTAAACTTATAACTATCAGATCTTGCGCTACTTTATACCATTGAAATAGTTCACATCAAAATTCTTTTAAAAAGACCTACAAAATCAGATCCTCTCAAAGTCAGAATTTAAGATTGCTAATGGAATTTAAATCCCTTAATCCTCTCCCCAAACAAATTCATATACAAATTATGTCATAAGTCTTATAACAATGTGATTCAATTAGATTTCTTTTCCTTGCATGGATTTGCAAAACAGCCAAAAATTGGCTTTGTACCTTCTTAGCCCAACATCCTTAAGATTATAAAAGGGTTGAGGGGAAATAACAAGATTTCTTTTGAGAGCTGCTCAATTGTTATGCAATGTCTAGCTTGCTCCCCCAGAAGGGAATGAGGGGAATAGCCCTTCACCTTCATTATAAACTTAAGACTGGCCTGTGTCCTCTGGAGCCCAACGATCCACACCAAATACATGTCAGAAAAAAAAAAGTGGCCGGTCTACTTGGGAACAGCCTACACTCCAAAGATTTCTAAAGAGGATGAATGTTTCACGTATAGAATTGACCTGTGGTCACTTTAAACTGGTTTTTGCCAGCTCTAGAGCTGAAGACCTTAATAGAGTAAGAATGGTATATTGGAAACCGGGGACTGAGAGAATTATCAAAAGTGTACATCTGGGAAAAGGCATTACCTTTATCAGTGATTCTTTTTTTTTTTTTATTAGTGATTCTTAAATCTTGATTATTTGCACCACAATCATCTGAGGGCTTATTAAATCACAGCTTGTTGTATACCACTGCTGGAGTTTGATTTAGTAGGTCTGGAGTGAGGCAAGAGAACTTGCATTTCTAATAGGGTCCCCAGTAATGCTAATGTTCCTAGTCCAAGATTACACTTTGAGAACCACTGGCCTACATTAAGAGAAAGGCCAGCAGAGAACCTCAGATACAAGGCAGACTCTTCACCAAGACTTTGGTGGAGGCGAGGTTAGAGGGAAGAGAAGAGAAATACAGAAATAAAATAAATCTGTGATCAAAACAGGTGACTTCTTGCTCAGATAGTCCAATCAGCTGGATTGGGGTGGGGGGTTAATGAAAGGAGGGCCTAGTCCTCAGTCATTCAAGGGCCCAAACTAACTGAACCTTTATCATCTTCAAAATGGTAAAATTATGCCATCCAACCAGAAGAGAATGGAGGACCCAAAGTTATCCTGGGTGTGGCCATCCACCCAACAGATAAGAACAGAATGGAGGATTGTGCAAGAAAATTTTTATGGGGCAGGCCTGAATTTTTACCCTCATATTCCACCGCTAAGAACTTAATCACATAGCCTTACACACATGCAAGGGGAGTGGGGAAATATAGTCCCTGGCAGGGCAGCACCGTATCTCAGGGGAGATACAATCTCCAGTGAACATCTAAGTCTCTGCTACCAAACTCCCTTCCCATTGCAGGCTTCCAGCTTTAAACAAGTATGAACTGAATTTTAAAGGAAATGTACAATTAATTACATAAACATTTTAATTACTAAAATGGTTGCAACTAAAAGTGATCAAAGGACTTATCTGATTGACTAAAAAAGGATAGGGCCAAGATTGTTCGACATAGTGTATTTACAGGAGCAGTCGAGAGGAAAAATTGCTATTTTATAAATCTATGGGGTTCTTCTCTTTTAACATGTTACAATACTTTTTTAGAGATTTTTAAGTAAAATATAAAGATTTCACAATTTCATATTTATACTACTTGATATCCTTTATTTATTTATCATTCTTTTATTCTTTTTAACACCAAGCAACCTACAGGGCTGCTGCTTCTATCTATCATTCTTAAAGCAAATAACAAGTCTACGTTCCAAGGATGGAAATTTGCTATTACTGAGGATTATCTTCAATGTTTAGTGCAACTCCAAAAACAGGAATATTCCACACAAGAGCAGCACTTTGCTTTTTAAGTTGATTACTCTTAATGCAGTCACACTCATTGCCTATGCTTGCCATAAAATGAAATTACTGCCTGTGACATCTCATAATTGATAAAGTTGGAGAGTGAAGCTGTTTACATAACTCCTAGTTATATCTCTTTTAAGACTCTCCAAGAGCAAATGAACTAATATATGATGCTATTTACTGAAAGGAAAAAATAAAAACAACAAAAAACCCTTTATGGTCTTTCATTCATTTCATCAATTAGAACGCACAAGGCAGCATCTTTCTCTATAATCTGGTCTTTCCGATGACCTGAATTTTCTCTTTCTTGTTCATTCTGTCCAGTACAATTGTTGCTATCATCAGCATCCATTGGTTCAGTTTTTACTCTTATCCCTGCTTCTGAATGAGGCAAATCATCAGGCAAAGAAGCCAAGCAATTTTGAATCATCTCAATGACTCTTTCCAGATGCTTTTGAAACCTCTCAGCTGTTTCAAGGCGTTGACGTTTCTGCACCTCCATCATGACCCTGAGGGTCTCTCTTGCTTGGTGAGGTCGGTATTCATTTATGAGATGATGAACATGTACAAAAAGCAGCTTAAGATCTTCCAGTTTCTCTTCTCGTTTTATACTCCCAGGGCTCCTTATCAAGATATCTAAGAGGTCTAAGAAATTAATAAGGATAGACATATTCAGTTTTCTCAGTTCTTTCTTGTGATCAAACTGCATAGGATGAAGCCGTTCGATGCCCTGACTTTCTAAAGGGCGGATGATAAGATCATCACACTGGAACTGGTTGCCAAACATCATATAACTGTCTTTTATTGGAGGTGGAGGCTTGGGAGCTAGTCCTTCCTGAATATTTTCATCCGTATACTCCTTGATGTATTGCATCGGAGGTGGTGGAAGGGCACTCACTTGCTGTGGCTCACCCATTGTGGAAGATCAAGAACCTATAGAAATAGACCAAAGATTTAGAGTACCTCTACAAAACAAACCTGTCACATTGGGTGACTAGGGACAGAATATTTTCCTTTTTTCGCCCTAGCAGTTGGGGGCCCAGAATAAAATGATCTCCTTGGTTTCTAAAACTAACATTTACAACAGGGAAAGGCTATGATCCTTTTCTATTTATCCAAGTACTTTCCTTCTCAATACTTTCAGCGGCACAAAAAAATATGCTGCAGTATATTTTCATCTATAAAGAAAATTGTGCTCATTTAGACTGATCTTATCAGATTTTCAAGATATAATATACTGGAGGCAGTTTTATACTGGAATTTGTGAAGTTTTAAGGGTGGCTATGGAACTATTCCTGAGTTTCCACCAAGCCACAGTGGCAGAGAGAATGTTGCTGAGAATCAATGAGTCAGTAGCGTTTATTCTCTGTATCAGTATCTGATTTGTCTCCCCAACCAGACAATAAGCTCCATAAAGGGAAAAATTTTGTCTATCATAGTTCTCGCTGTGTCCACAGCCTTGCACACAGAAGCTTCATAAATATTTGTTGAGCAGCTTCATCCATTTCAAGAGGGCTCCAAATCAAAGAGAACTTGGAAGTAGGTACAAACATCCTTAATGTGTATTCATTCTTTCATATATTTGTTAATATGTGACAATGAGTATCCAGGGATGATAATTATAATAATAGATAATATCTGAGTGCAAACTATATACCAGACACTATTCTAAATACTTTTCTCATGGTTGTGAGAAATCTGAGAAAAGAAAGGTGCTCTTTCCATTTTAGAGATGAAATAAGTGGTTGAACCATTTGTGTAAAGTCACAGAGTAAGTAGTAGAGGATGGATCCAGAGTCTAAAGATCTTAAAACATTACACTATACTACCTTTCAAGGATAAATAAAAACCACTACCTCCATCCAACTGCTGCTTACAATCTATCAAAGAAATAACTACATGTTTTAATGCTACTACAAAAGACCAACAGATCTGACTACCAAAAATAAATATAACACAACAGAATGGTGGTTACCAGAGAGAAAGGAGGGTGGGGAAAGGACAACAAGGATAAAGGTTCAAATACATAGAGACTAGACTTTGGGTGGAAGGCACACAATGGAGTAAAATTATGAGGATGTACACCTGAAACTTACATAATGTTATGAACCAATGTCACATCAATAAATTTAATAAAAATAAATAAATCTAAAAATTCCATTTAGCAAAGTATAAGCAAAATAACAGGCAATCTCATTTTTCTGGGATATAAATGCTTGCAAGCTAACAAAGGGCAAAAACTAGAAATTTTTATTTTTCAAAAACATTATTTTCTGACTCCATTTCCCAGGAGCACCGTGACTTCAGGAATTGCCTGTCTCGTTCACAATTCTACCAAGCTGCACCTCAAACAATGCCTAAAAGGTGGTAGGTCCTCTATAAAGGTCCATTGAGTGAATCTCTTAAAAAAAAAAAAAAAAACTACATTAAAGAAGGATATAGGCAGAAGATGACAAAGAAAATGCAACTGTTAAATAAAGTTGGGATGCCCTGACCAGGTAGCTCAGTTGGGGTTAAAGTCATCCTGATCTGCTAAGGTTGCAGGTTCAATCCCCAGTCAGGGCACATACAAAAATCAACCAATGAATGCAAAAGTAAGTGGAACACAAATCGACACTTCTCTTTCTCTCCCCCTTCCTTTTAATAAAGTCAATAAATTTAAAAAATTTAAATATAAACAAATAAAGGGAAAATATTCAGGCTAATACACTTTGTTTTAAGATGTTATTAATTTATAGAGAGGGGGAAAGGGAGAGGAATAGAGAGATAGAAACATCAATGAGGGAAACATCATCCATTGGCTGCCTCCTGCATGCCCCCCCCCCCCCGCAATCCCGGCCCGCATTGTGCCCTGGACTTG